TTTTTTTTTTTTTTTTTTTGGAGGGGGTGGGTACTAGGAATTGGATTCATGGGCACTTGACCACTAAGCCACATCCCCAGCCCTTTTTTGTATTTTACTTAGAGGCAGGGTTTTGCCGAGTTCCTTAGGGCCTCGCTAAATTGCTGAGGCTGGCTTTGAACTTGAGATCTCCTTGCTTCAGCCTCGGAAGCCGCTGGGATAGGCCCTGTGGGTGTGTGCCAGCGCGCCCAGCTTCTCCATCCCACTTTAACAGTCAGCTCATACAGCCCCACCTCCAGAAAGTCCTCCCTGACCACCAATCTGGGTTGGGTGCCTTCTTTTTTTTTAATATTTATTTTTTAGTTTTTTTAGGTGGACACAATATCTTTATTTTTATGTGGTGCTGAGGATCAAACCCAGTGCTTCACGCATGCCAGGCGAGCACGATACCACTTGAGCCACATCCCCAACCTGGGTGCCTTCTTTGGCTCTCCCCTTTTCAGGTATGATCACTCTGCCTTGAGCTTCCCCAGCCCAGCTCTGATGCCTGTCTGTGGCTGGCTGGTGGAATATTTCTCTTCTTACTTGTACTGGGAATCCTAGAAATGGGGTCCATCAGCTGCCCTGGTATTCTACCGTCCCAGCCCCTGTTCACTAAACCCTAGGCTTTCTGCAGCACGGTCCTAATCACTCTTGTCATCACTACTCCAGACTGCTCCTGTCTAGTGAGCGAGAACCACAGGTGGGTCCTCAGGCGCTCAGTGAATGTTGAATTTAGGAATAAACCCTTTTCCCACGAAGGAAGGCTAAAGCAAAAAGGGCAGAATGCAACAGGTTTCCAAGAAATATTTGCCTCCCACTCAGAGGCCTAGGGTGAAAGAGAAGGCACTCAGAGGTCGTCGCCAAAGCCCAACCGCAAATGTGCCATAAGTCTTGGCACTCAACCAGCCTGAGCGCCCCCCTGCCCGCGTCCCATCAGGGTGGAGCCAGCGGGAGCCCCGCCCCTTTCCCTGCGCCAGGGGCGGGCCCAGGTGCGCCAAGGGCGGGGGAGCATCTCCTCAGGTGCCGGCCCTCTGCGCCTGCGCTGTGCTCGCCCCGCCTCGCCAGGTGCGCCCCGCCCGCCGGCCTGGCTGCCTTCTTCCAGCCGCTTCCAGGCGTCCGCCATTGGCTCTAGCGCCCCCCTAGGAGTTTGGCGGTGTGGCGCAGTTCTGAGTTGGGAAGGGTCCCTGAGTACCGCGAGGGGCAAAGGGACGCGTGAAAAGCGGACCGAAGCGGTGCGCTCGAAGACAGTGTCCGGTCACCGAAGGTCTGAGAAAGGACTTTCGGAGCCGTGGGCACCTCGCGGATCCCGGGGGGTGGGCGGCGACCGCACCTGAGCTTGTGGACCTCCAGCGCGCGTGCGCGCCCAGGGTCTTCCCGCACCTGATCGCGAGACCCCAACGGCCTGCGGCTCGAGGCCTCGGCGGCGCATCCCAGGCACCCGTCATGGCGCAGCTGTGTGGGCCGCGGCGGTGCCGGGCGCTCCTCGCCCTGCTGGCATCGCTGCTCCTCTCCGGGGTCGAGGTGGCCGACGGAGGCCGAAGCATCCACGGTGAGGGCCTGATGGGTGTCCGGGGAGGAATGGATAGCGGGGGCCGGAGGCGGGACCCGGGGGGCAGGGACGGGGGTGAAGTGGGTCTGGGCCTGGGAATTGAGGTGGGGTAGAAATTGGGGGCTACTTGGAGGTGGTCGGGGCGTGTAGGGCGAGCAGCTGGCCCTAGCGATTGGTCCTTCAGGAGGTCTGGGGGCCCTTGGGAGTGAACGGCGGGCGGAGGAGCAAGGACAGGAAAGTTCCTTCGGAGGAGGGAGGGGACGTTGGGTATTGACCAAGAAGGAGTGGCCTTGGCCCTTCCTGTGGCAGGAAGGGGTTGAGGAGCCGCACCGAGTACTCTTCGTGACAGCGGAAAGTTCCTCGGCCAAAGAAAGCCAAGGGAGGCAAGGCCTCTGAGGGTTGTGGCTTGGATTTGGTGACCTGGTGGCAATTTGTGCTTCGAGGAAGAAGCCCCTATCCTCATCTCTTTGGATATTGGGCAACAGTCTCCAGAAATTTTTCTAGATCAGTTGCAGTAGGTTTGGTGGCCAGAAAGAAAGGGTTCTCAGTGATGGCAGAAGAAAAGAAAGGAAGAGAAGAGGAGCAACTGGTGGAGGGGAGAGACCTTGCCAAGGTGCAGGGACGAAGGTGCCTTCCAGCGAGACAGCATTGGCAAGCAGGCGCTGGGGTTGGCTTCTTCAAGTGTTGTTATAACCTTAACCACTTCAGACAAGTACCAAAGGGTTTTGAAAAGAGCTCTCTGGGAAGAAGAATCCATTGATTCAGCGAACTTAATCCCTGCCATGTGTCAGAAACTGCTGGCAGTGGTGACAACAGTTGATTCCATAGGCCTGGTTCTTGGCGCTCACAGAGCTGGTAGTCCAGCGGGAGAGATGGTGTATGTTTAAATAAAGAGCACTGACCATAAGATTAAATGACTAAGAGGTAAACAAAAAGGGTGAAATACAGGAACATCATCATCTGATGATGATGGGGGCTCCCTTAGCTCCAGTGGTCAGGGGAGGTCTCTCTGAGGAGGGTGGCATCTGAGCTCCGACATGAAGAATGAGGAAGTGGCAGCCACACACAAAGACCTTGAACAGTAGTGTTCAGTTTTCTGGATGAATGAGTACAAAGGCCTTGAGTGTGGAACAAACTTGTTGTATTCAAGGAAAAGAGGGAACCCCCAGAGCTGGAGCCGAAGTGAGAAAGGGGAAAATGGGAGGTGGGAGAAGTGGGCAGGAACCAGGTGGCCCAGGGCTGTGCAGGCCAGCACACTGGGTGAAAAGAGAAAGGAAGCAGGATGTGTGCCTGCTAGGTCCTCATCCCCTGTGACAGGGTAACTTCTGGAAAATGGTTAATTGCCCTATTGTTGAGGCAGGGAGGAAATTAAAAAGTTGTCAGGTGCCAACGGGGAGAAGCACATTCCTAGAGGTCACAGTATGAATCAGAATTTGTCAATTCTGGGCTTTTTCAGATAAAGAAATGTTAAGATTTATCTCCAATTACCTGGCCTGCGACTGCATGTGGTTACAGCTTACTCTGAGCTTGTAGGTATTGTTTAATCCTGGATGTAACCTGGCGTGGCGTGGTGGTGACATGACAGGCCTGCTTACATGGCAGTCATTGACAAAGCCAGGTCTGACTGCAGAGGACCTCTCTGTTCTTCATGTCTCCCTCTCCCCATCCCACTTTTCCCCTGATGGCTGCAACTGGCTGGACCTACTGACCTTTCAGAAGTTCTAGTGTCTGGCTGGGTGAACTGCTGCCCTCACTTATCTGAAGTGCTGTTTGAAAGCTCAAACAACTTCATCTGAGGCAGGAAGCAGTCCAATTGCTTTGGTTTTCTCACACAGAAAGGCCACCTGCTGAGTGAGGTGTTTCTCCTGGCACATGGAACAGCACAGGTGCTGCCAGGTGAATATGTGGAGAGACGAGAAGAGGGAATGTGTTTATGTTTAAGGGAGTGATTATAATGGTTGGTGATGGAACTTATTCTGGGTAAAGACGCGAGCAGGCTGAGGAACATGAGGATGGTAGGGCCAACAGCTTGTTGCAGTTGAGGTTCTAGGGAGAATGAACTAGAGAGTAGGACACAGTGGGCGGTGACTGTGGTAATGAAAGTGCGGTTCTGAAGAGCCTGGTGTGTTGGAGACAAGGTCTAGGGTAAGAGTGAGGAGTTGGGAGGACAAGTTTACTGGAGGAGAGAAAGTCAGGAACTGAGGCCAGAGGATCATCTGTCTGGATATTGCCTGCTAAAAACAGCCTGAGAGGTGGTGAACCCAGATAAAGATTATGGAGCAGTGAGCAGTAGGGACCTGAGTCAGATGATACACAAGGTGGGCAGTGAACAGTCTGCTCTGATAATGTGACAAGAATGTTCAGAGAGGGGGCTAGGGTTGTGGCTCAGGGGTAGAGAGCCTGCCTAGCACATGCTGTTTGATCCTCAGCACCACATGAAATAAAATATAGGTATTGTGTCTGTCTACAACTAAAAATATATTGAAAAAAAATGTTCAGAGAGTCAGATATAGCTCAGTTGGTAGAGTGCTTGCCTCCAATGCTCAAAGCCCTGGGTTCAATCCCCAGCGCCACCACCAAAAAAAAAAAAAGAATGTTCAGAGAATCAATTGAAGAAGCGAGCTTTTGCTAAAGGTAATCCAGAGGGTCCAGGAATTGGGAGATGGAGATAGGACAAAACAGGCTGTGTGAGGATGAGGATTAATTCCGAGTAGGCTGTAGGCTGTGTTTTTTTGTTTGTTTGTTTGTTTTTGGTACTAGAGATTGAACTCAAGAATGCTTTACTACTGAGCTACATCCCAACTCTTTTGATTTTTTTTTTTTATTTTGAGACAGAGTCTTAGTTTAAAGGGTCTCATTCAGTTGTTGAGGCTAGTCTCGAAATTGTGATCCTCCTGCCTCAGCCTCCTGAGTCAAACTCTGGGACTTCTTGTCTGTGATCAGTGTATCCTGATCTGAGACTGACCATGTTGGTGAGGCTCTTAAGTGGTGGAGGGCAGTGGGAAGGGTGTGGCAGGTACACACTTGAAGGCCTGGAGGAAGAGTCCTCCTGACTCCAAACCTGCAGACAAGTAGGGAAACTTGGTCTTGTGCTAGATTTTCCAGAATCAGGGACAAATTTTTATTCCAAAGAAAGTGGCCTCTTCTGGGAAGCTTCATATAATCTTTTGGTGACTTTTAAGACATTTGGCTTTTGGCTTTGCCTGAAAAATAGATCTGGTGGAACCTGACCAGAACACAGGCCTGTATTATTCCCACATGGCTCTCATGGACTGGAGCCCCGAGCCTCTTGGGAAGGATATATTCTTCTACCCCAGTCTGTAATTATCACATTGATTTACCTGCCTGCTTTTTTTGTGGTACTGGGGATTTAACCCATTTTTAATATTTTTATTTCTCTCGGCCTCCAGAGTAGCTGGGATTACGGGCATGCACCACTGTGCCTAATTTATTTGCCACCTTTTATAACTGTAGGCCCACCTTGAGGATATGCTTTATTTAGTAAAAGGAGATAGATAACACCTAACAGCTTTTAGAAATTGTGCAGTACTAGTGCTATAAGGAAGGTGGAAAAAAAAAAAAAACACTTTTGTCGTACAAATAGGCATAATTTTTTTTCCTCTTCTTTCCATGTGATGAATCCTGATAGTTAGGGTTTTTTGTTTTGTTTTTGATGCCAAGGATTGAACCCAGGGATGTTTAAACACTGACCAACATCCCTTGCCTTTTTAATTTATTTTTTGTTTTATTTTATTTTAAAAATATTTTTTAGTTGTAGATGGGCACAATGCTTTATTTTTTTTTATTTTATGTGGTTTATTTATTTTATGTGGTTCCGGTGGATCAAACCCAGGGCCTCACACATACTAGGCAAGTGTTCTACCACTGAGCTACAATCCCAGCCCTTGCCCTTTTTATTTTTTTGAGATAGAGTTTCACTAAGTTGCTTAGGGCCTCTCTAAGTTGCTGAGGCTGGCTTTGAACTTGTGATCCTCCTGCCTCACCCTCCCGAATTGAGATTACAAGTGTGTGCCACCATTCTGAGCTTAAATCCTGATATTTAAAGGCCCTGAAGTACATACTTTTGATCAGTACAATATTTCAGAGTTTAACCTTGGAAATTGCTTTAGGAGCTATCCTTTAAGTGTACTTCCCGCTGCCAGTAACTTTCTGCCTGGCCTTGGGCATCAGCTTGTGTTAATGGTTACTTGACTTAGGGTTCCTTGTGGGTTGCTCTTGGGAATTTCCGCTGAAGCCTGGCAAGTCAACATTCACTCCACGACCTCCACTGGCTTCCAAGCCGATCTTCAGTTTCCATTAACCTCTTGGGTTAATTACAGCTTTCCCAGCCTTTCAACACAAGGTGGACTTTCCAGAAAATCTCCAGGGATCACTCCTTTCCCTTCCTCCTTATTCCCACAGGTAGTTGTGACAGGACAACTATGGAGATAGGACAATGTAAGAGCTAAAGTGTGCCTAGAGTTAGTAGCTGATCAACATCTTATGTAACATTTGTCCTTTATGGAAGAGGTGCTTGACCTGCTCAAAGGCAAACCATGTTGAAATGCTTATTCACTGATATAGCCAACAATTTTTTCCTCGGTACTGGGATTTGAACCTCAAGAAAATTTTACTTCTGAGCTACATCCCATCTATTTTTTTTTTTTTTTTTGAGACAGGGTTTCACTAGGTTTCCCAGGTGGGCCTTAAACTTTCTGCCTCAGCCTTTACCTACCAGCTGGGATTACAGGTGTGTGCCACAATGCCCGGGTAGTCAGCAAATATTTATTGAGCACCCACCAAGTGCCAAGGCACTGTTTTAGGTTCTTGAAATAGAACACTAAACAAAACACACACGCCTGGCTGTTTCGCCATAATGAGAGGAAGATAGTGCAGTCAGGTGAGCGTGTGTGTGTGTGTGTGTGTGTGTGGTGGTGAGTGCCGTGAGGTGAGTACCGTAGGGTTGCTATGCTTCGTGCTGACAGCCGGGCTTTGGGAGC